TCTCTGTCATGTGACCCCCAGATGGATCCCTGCAGAGACCCGCCCCGTCAGGGATCCCCACCCTTGTGGTGGGCTCCCTCAGACGCAGCCCCACCATGGTCGTGCGGCCTCAGCAGTTCCCGTTCCACCAGCCACAGGCGGCCCCCTCCTCGCCCTTGACGGTGGTGGCGGAGATGGGGCCCAGGCTGGCCCCCACGGGGGAGCCCGCCCTCACGGGCGTCAGCAGGGGCGGCAACACCAGGATCCACTCTGCGGCCGGCTCCATCATCATGGAAGGCAAGGAAAGCTCCATCAAGAGCGAGCCTCCACCCAAGCCGCCTGCCTCCGCCCCGCCGTCCATCCTGGTGAAGCCGGAGAACTCCAGAAACGGCAGCGAAAAGGTAGGAGGGAGCCCACCTGGGCGGGCGTGACTCGAGACCCCCGACGTGGCCCAGTGTCCCGGCTCCTGAGATTCTCGTCTTAGTGGACAGGAATCAAAGTCACAGCCCCTGAGGAACCCGCACAAGCACCCCCTCCGCACCCTCACATCCGCCCTGGAGGTGTCACCCCTCCGCACCCTCACATCCGCCCTGGAGGTGTCACCCCTCCGCACCCTCACATCCGCCCTGCAGGTGTCACCCCCTCCGCACCCTCACATCCACCCTGGAGGTGTTGCCCAATCTCCTTTATGCTTCTTGAATATTTCATACATACGTCTTCAGAGGCACAAGGTGGCTTGGGAAAAACATGGCTTTGGCCTCAGACAAGTCGGGATTTGAACTCCAGCTCTGCTGCCTGCAAGCTGGTGACTTTGGCCAAAACACTTCACCTTTCTGAGACTTTTCTCTTTTTTTGCCTCACCTGTAGACCTAGAATGGTGGTAAGAATAGTAACAGCCTCATGGGATTGGATTGGAGATTAAATGAGATAAGACGTGCACAGCGCTTACAGAGGGCGTGATACTTAATTGTTCAAGGTGTAGAAGAAGGTCCCACTGAATTATGGTAACTCCAAAACTGTCACTGTGACCTCTGGGGCAGAGGTCAGATCTGTAAACTACCGCTTCAGGCCTTGTCCCACTGGAAGACGTGAGAGATTTTGTAAAATGCTTATGTTCTCAATAATACCCTGGAAGCAAGAGTGACGGTGGACGGAGGAGGTGACATTAGGAAATTAGGCGATGCTTATTACCTCTTAGTTTATTGAGCGTCTCAGCATCACCACCACCGCCCCCCAGCCCCCTGCTCCTTGCTACACACTTACTGAAGGCACTGTGCTGAGCGCTCCGCATGTTCTATCTCATTTAACCCTGACAACAACCCTCCGAAGTAGGTGTTACTATTGTCATCCGCATTTAAAATGAGCAATTGGAGGCTTAAGGAGTTCCAGTGCATCACCCAAAGGCGCACAGCTGACACACATGAGTGCCTAGAGTGGAATCCAGATCGAACGAGAAAACTCATGCTCCTGACACTCAGCTGTAGCTTATAGGGAACGGCTTTTGGAAAACATTAGTGTTGACTGATGGAAACATCGGGAATGTTTTTTTCTGAATTATAGTTTTAAATAAATTAAAAATCTTCCAGGCCCTAGTTGCCCATTCCCCCAAGCTATTAGATACAGCCTTCAAACTGTAAGAGTTCAGGAAGTGCCCAAACCTCCACTAGCTATGGTCAAGGTCAAAAGTAGGAAGAAACTTGGATTCTCGGGGGTGGGGGGTAGGATCAAACTTCATGGAAAAAAGAAATCATTCCTAAGCAGTGCCACAGAGCACTTTATTAAGCCCTAAGAAAGGGGTTGACCAAAGCCAATACCTATTGGCACCAGGCAGGTAGATAACAGGCTAGGAGAGAGGTGGAAGGGAGGAGGAGAGGCCTGTGCAAACAGGAGACATGCCTCCCATGTGGACAGAGACTCCTAATCAGCTCCAGCCAGTCGTTGCCAAAATGGGGCACAGGCCCAGTGTGCCAGATCCCTGATTTTTTTTTACGAGACATATAAAAGACTGATTTTGATATGCAATCTCCCAATTTTCTAAAACCCTCAGACATTCTGCAGACTAAATTCAGCCAGCAGGTGTCCAGTTTGCAAACTGCTCTGAGGACTTCTCAGGCCATTACGGAGCTCTCTAGATGGAATCAGTGGGGGTGGCCTCGGCAGGTGGTAGCCTTGAGATAGGCCTTCAAGGCATGCAGAGAGGAGAGAGGGGAAGTGAACTTCTTTCCAGAATAGAGCATATCCTCTGGCCTCAGGCCCTTTCCCAGGTAGGCCTACCAGATTTCCTCTAGGTCATTCCTCATGGTTCTTCAGCTCTCAGCTTAAGTAGCTCTGCTCCTAGGAAGCCTTCCCTGACTACCCCCCTCCAGCTTTAGCTTCCTACTCTTCTGCATTTAGCATCTATTCTTCCCCATCATGGCACTTATTGTCATAATTGTCTTTTAGTCAAGGACAGTTTTGTTCACTCTTGGGTTCACAGCTCCTAACGGGGTGCGTGGTGCGTAGTAGACCCACGTGCTTTCTGAATGAACATGGAAAGGAGGCTTTCAGGTCGGCACCTGTGAGGAGAAGCAGCAGGAACCGTGTCCCAGGGCACAGCAGCACGTCTCCCCCTCACCTGTGTCCCTTTGCTCTTTGCTCTCTTGCAGCAAGTGAAGACCGTGAGGTTTCAGAATTACAGCCCTCCTCCCGCCAAGCACAGCACCTCCGGAAAGCCTGACCAGCCAGCCGCCCCCAAGGGATCCCATCCTGAAGCCGCCCCCCTGGGCCCAGAGATGACCATCCTATTTGCCCACCGAAGCGGCTGCCATTCTGGACAGCAGACAGACCCCCGGAGGAAGTCAGGTTTCAGCAAGACGGCGACCCCAGTGTCCACTGCCTCAGCCACACAGACCATGTTTCCCAGCAAATGAATCTACAGGTGGCTTTTCCTAGACCCCAAAGAGGTGAATTGCATTTAAATACAGTCTGCCTCCACTGAGGGTGTCCTGCCATTCTTTGGGTCCTCGAGCCTGGGTCCTTGTTCTGCCCATTTTACCTCCGGGGAAGGAAAGGTGGGAGCAGGGATTCCTGCCCTGGGTGGGAGGAGAGATCGGGTGGCTTCCAAAATAATGATCTGAAGGAGCAAGGCCCCCTGCTCGGGCCAAAGAGTGGGAGCCCATCCGCCCACCCTGTTCCCAGCCTGGTGTGTGCCCTCACGGCCTGTGTTCTGTGTGGAATTTCCACGGTGTCCTAGGCGCTCAGGGGAGCACAGTGGTGGAATGTGGCCTTGCTTCTCTGACCTCACCACCATGCTCCCAACAAGCATCAGCACCGCTTCTGCCGTGTCCCAGGCCTGTACTCTGGCCACTAGCAGCCACCATATCTTTTCCCCTCCAAAGAGTCACAGCCCAGCGGCCGAGGGAGAATTTCTGGGAAGGGCGTGAGACGGATACTTTGAATGTTTTGAAATCAAAGGCCTTGTTCCAAACAAGAAGGTCAGAGAGAAAGCTGACTACCTGCTACCAAAAGATGACCCTGCTTTAGGCTTTCCAACCCATGTTCCCGCGTTGAATCTGACACGAGGGGGAAGCAGGAGGCGTGCAGCTGTGGGTATGGGCCTGGGTGGGCCCGGGTGGGCCTGGGTGGGCCTGGATGGGCCCGGGTGGGCAGTGCGTCCTGGCTCTGTCGTCTGATTTCCCCAAGAGAGCACAGCATGCTTCAAAACAATGTGTCAGGGTGGGGATTTGGGTTTAGATAGATGATCTGTTTGCATTGCGACTATCTTTACTTTCTGATTCCTTCTCACGTGGGGCAGAGCAGCTGTTCCACTGGTTGACGGGTAGGAAAGGCGGCGCTGAGAGTGGGAAGATGCCAGCCCACGGCTGGGGTGGGGGCACTTCTTAGAGGAAAGCCGCCCTAGAGGGACTGGACAAAGGAGGTCAGAGAGGAAAAGAAGAGGGAGGGTGAGGAAAATACCAGAGACAGACAGCGAGGGTGTGAGGAGAGAGAAAGCGAGAGGGTTGGGAAAAGCATCAGGAAAGAAGATGAGAGAAGAGAGATTGGCCTTGACATTCCCGACAGGTGGAGGAAAGGGCAGAGTCTGTAAAACGAGGTGACCTCGCTAAGAAGGGGCTGAAGTGAGCGGGACCACCCCGGCAGAGCCTTGTGAACAGGGGTGAGAGGGCATCCAGAGAGCCGAGTCAATGCTGAAACCAGCCATTCGTTCTCATTAAGCTTAACTGCTGTGATTTCACTCTTACTGCATGCCCATCCATGTGGGCACTTTCATGCGTAAATGCCACTTGCGGCTAAGGGTGGGTGCCACTCGAAAAGGCAGGTCTGATTAGAACGTTCCCTTCTTGAAGAATTCCCAGTTCTTCAAGATCCCGATATAAAAACATACATATTTTACATACTCGCCCGCACACACTTGACAAAGTGAATTGTCCACAGACTTTTCCAGGCCTTAATAAGACAAAAACAAAACCACAATCCTGTCAAGGAATAGTGTTGCAGATGCAAGACCTGTGTCTGACCCATGTCTGCTCCACAGAATCAACATGCCCAACTCCATGCCTCACTGAGCTAAATAATCCACATGGAGAGATGGGGAAAAGTCACAAGGACAGGGAGAACGAGATGATTTGTGAAAATATGAGTTCCTACACCTCATCTGTACCCAAAAAAGCACCCTTGATAAGTTCAGCAATCGAGTCTACATCCGGAGTGGCAGGTATAGGAAATGACCAACCAACTCAAGCAATAGGTCCAGTTCATTCTTACCTGTTGGGGCTGACAAGCAGGTTTTTTGGTGTAATAGGGACACAATCCATGCCTTCCACATGAAACCCCTCTCTGAAAACTGCAAACAACTCCAAAGGCGGGCCCCTCCCACTCCATCCAGCCTCTTCACCTGCGTCCAGCATCAAACCAAATCCCATCTCTGAGGAGTCTTATGAGGATTTGAAAGGGGCAGGAGGGTGTTATTTCCAAGTAAAAGTTGAACCCACTGGAGCCTCCAATCATTTATCCCACCAAAGCGTTTCAACATTGCCTGTGTGCCAGGGCACCGCAATGATCTCCACCATAACCTTACAAGGCAGGTGTAAATTGTCCCCATTATAAAGCCGAGGGCACTGAGGCCTGAAGAGTAACCACAGATAATGGAGAGCGAGCCTGATAGCTGCCCACACCCCTGAGTTCAAGCTCTCTCACTTCAAAGCCCAACTTGGGGAGGATGCTGCATGAACCCAGGATGCTGACTCCAGACTGCTGGAGGCGGCATAGTGCCAGGGTCACAGATGGAGGCTCTGCAGCCCACAGGCTGGGTTCAAGTCCTCGTTTACCACCCACTGGCTGTGTGATGTTGGGCAGGCTACTTAGCCTCTCTGAGCCTTGCTTTCTTAAATCGAAAGGATAATAGTGCCCACCTCATTGGGCTGTGTGAGATTAGCTGAGATGACACTACAGGGTGACTTAAACCGAGCTGGCACAGAGTGAACACCCAACAAATGTTAGACTTGAATGTTTTTAAGAAAGCAAGCCATTGAGATTCCAGGTGAGAAAGTCTAACATAAGGACGCACCCAGGGCTGTGGTGTTAAAAGGAGACCAACATGGCCTAGTCGTGGAGGTCATAGCACAACATAAGCTGAGGCCTGGAGGCCAAGTGAGATTCAGATAGAGAGAGGGGTGGGAGAAAGGGTGTCCCAACCAGGCGAAGAAACATTTGGCAATTGAGTTTAAATGGAGCGATGCAGGCAAGTTCCCTTATACTTAGAGGAATCCACTCCTCTGTGGAACATTCCAGGGATCCTAGGAAGAACCCTAGAACCTCACGTCTGAAGCCAAACATTCCATCCTGTGAGAGCCCTCTCCCCCAGCTAAGATTCAGAGTCCCTAGGCAGGGCGCCCCTTGGCCCTGTGATCAGACCTGGCACCTCAGCACTAGGGAGCTGCTGAGGGCAGACTCTGATGGGGGCAGGCAAGACATCTGAGGGGTGAAGGAGGGCACAACCAGCTGAGGGCAGACTCCGAGGTCCTTACTGGCCTGTCTCCTTCCCTCCTCAGGTGGGACCAGTTACACCACCTCTACCCTTCACCGTCCCATAGACAGGGCTTCTGGGGCTGGAAGAGTTTAAAGCAGTGCCCTACCTGTGAGGCGGTGAGATGCAGGACACATACGTGGCTCACAGACTTCCAGCTTCCTTTGGAAATTCAGAAGATCTGTTCACACCAGGCCTGCCCTCCTGAGTGGCAGAATCCAGGGGGAGCTGGGTCAGGGCTAAGGCTGCTTCAGTCAAAGGACATGCCAGGGCTTGGCTCGGTCACAGGACCTGCACTGAACTGGGCATGTTCCCCTAGAGACCGTGTGCTGGACTTGGCCTTCCAGAGTCCTCATAAACCCCTTGAAACTTAGAGCTGGATCCTTAGAGTCAGTAGAGACAGCTGATTCCGGGCAATCAGTCTCGGGAGCGTAGTGGGCCGCACCTGGGCCCTGGAGAGTGTTGTTCAGTAGCCTCGAGGGGGGAGCCCGGCCTCTGTGTTTTCAGCAAGCTTCCCATTGACTCTTATGCACATAGAATGTGAGAACCGAACCTGCCTTTCTCATGTGTTATAGCAGAGCTGACACTCGGCAGGAGTATGGCCACACTGGCTGTTAGCACACTGAAACAGGCCTGTACTGATGGGTAGCCTGGGCTGCTGAGCTCCCCAAGGCCTCGCCCCTCCTGCACCCTGGCCCCTCCTCCAAGTCTCCCCTTCACTCCACCTTCCAGCAGCAGGGGCCAAGGCCAGGTGCAGCTGAGACCGCGGGCAAGAAAGCTCATCATTCTGATTGGCAGCGCCTGTGCCACACGGGTTCAAAGTCTTGACTGTTACCCTGTTGTCAAGAATAAGACCCAGAGAGTCCCCAGAGGCTGAGGACACTGCAGTCAAGCCCAGCGCTCGTCCCAACCCCGACCCTGCCACTGCCCAGCCCTCAGCCATCACCTTCATCCAGCCCCCTGCTCCCCAGCCCACCTTTCCCAGCTGATACTTCGCGGCCGTAAGCAATGCCCTTCAGGTCCCAGCTCCTCTCGCATGGGTTTGGCAGGCATGGGAGTCATTTGTTTCAACAAGATGAGCAGGCATCCAGGCTCCTCATCTCACCCGCCTC